GGAAAAAATAATACAGAATTTAGCTTTTATTTCAATAATACAAATTTTTAATGAAAATAACAAAAAATATTTATTAATGCCTAATTATTTGTTTTATTCTAAAAAAATATTAGCCCCCCTAAGTAAACAGCTGCCCCTCCTCAGCTGAAAATTTCTGGTTACAGCCCTGACCCTTCTTTAGGAGTAAGTTATTTTAATAATATATGATGCGATACATGTTCCATTCATTCCATTTCAGCTAAACTTCTATATATTATCTGTATCCATTTTAGAATTTTATCTTTAATCATATATGTAGAAAAAAGACTGTCAGGAAGCAGGACTTAACAAGTATCAAGTAAGGAAATTTTCTATTGATTTTCCCAATTTAATTTCATTATTGAAGATTTCATGAATTAAGCTCTGAGATATGAATCCATTCAATTCGACATCCTCCTTATGATGCTAAATAATATTTAATGTCCTGTTGTGATGTTTGGCCTTTTCTTTTTGATTAAGCGACAAATAAACCTTATAAAAATTTACTATCATGATCTAATTTTTTTTAAATTATATAAAATGTACTTTAATAAATATTTATATCCGCACTCAGGGATGCGAATCCGGCCTAATTTTAGCCCCGGGTTCGGTTCGGGTTCGGTTTAAGTAAAAAAATAAAAGGTGGGTTCGGTTCGGGTTCGGTTTATGGAAATATTTTTGAACCCGGGTTTGGTTCCGGGTTCAGCTCGGGTTTAAGAATTTTCGAATTGATATTAAAAAACTAGACATAAATTTGGTATAAAAATAAATTTTTTATTTTATTTATAGGCAAAATACATTTAAAAATACAAAACTAAACCTTGAAATAAAAGAGTTAAAGATAAATTTTAAATAGCAATGATTTCATAGAATTAAAAAACAGATATATAAATTTAATTTCAATTATAATATACACTTCATTAATATATATTAAAAATTAATCTGAACAAAAAATAAATCAATATAATAATTTTTACTATGACTTGTTCATTCCTTTAATTAGTAATCTTTGAGACTAAGTTAAAAATTAAAAATAAATGGCGTAAATGTATTTAATTGTTTTAAATTTATTAAACACTCCAATAGGAATCTTTGAAAATAAATTTTAAAAAAAATTAAAAAATGGCGTAAATGAATTAAGTTGTTTAAAATTTATTATCACTTCACTTAAAAGGTATTATGATAATTTTTTAAAATCTCAATTAAATTATTAATATTTGTATTTACAATTATACAAATATCTTAATATGTGATTTTAAACAATACACTGAACCCGCTTGAACCCGGGTTCATAAAAATTCCTGGGTTCGGTTTGGGGTTGTAAAAATTTTATAAATGGGGTACAGGTTCGGTTCGGGTTCAGATTTTTTTATCAAAAACCCGGGTTTACTCCTCCCGGTTCAGGTTCGGTTCAAATCCCTGTCCGCACTGTCAAAATACATAAATAATACAATTAAACTTTAAAACCCTCTCCATAATTAAACCACGTTTTGTCAAAGAATACAAAAATGCAAATTTAATTTATTTTGGCTCGAGCTCCATCCAAAATTTTTATTTATTTTTAGACCCGAGCCTAGTCATATTTTTATTTTAGACCTGAGCTTGTCATGTCCCAAATTTAATTGAAAAATATAATTAAACGCATATTTAAACAATTAAATAATATAATGTTAATTCATTTACCCTAATCATAGAGAAACTATTCTATTTTATTACTTAGAATCTTTTTATATTTTGAGTAAAAATAATGAAAAGCCTTAGACCGATTTTCCAAAGAAAAATTTTTAAGACCTTTTTCATTACTTTAGGTCTTTTTTTAAGGATCCACTAAAACTGTTTAAAGGCCGATAAATATAAAAACATAATTTTAATCAAACTGCATTCCCTATTACAACTGATGCAATTCATTTAATATACTGCATTTGTTCTAATATTTTTGCTGTAATGCATTCGCAATAATGCTCTCGCGGTAAAACATTCGCGATAACACTTTCACGATATTACATTCGCGCTAATGCATTTGCTATAATAATCGTGCAAATATATTCGCGGAAATGCATTCGCTATAATAACTTTTAGCGAATCGGCATTCGCGGTAATGCATTCGTTATAATTCCGTGCTAAAATTGTTTAAGTATTGACAAGTAACCATAATTTACTGAAATAAATATACCTTGTGCTATTTAAATTGATAGTATATTTTGTAATAACTTAAATAAATAAAAATTCTAATTTTAAACTAAATATCAGGAAAAATTTTTAAATGCAATATTCCTTAATTTAAAAAAAATTCGCTAATTTAAAAATATTGCATGAAAAATGTTAATCGTATAAATGCAAACAGGTTAAGTGATAATTATAGGATATGTGAATGTTTTAAAGTCCCTTATATATTCATATATAATATTGTTTAATTGCGAATCGATAAATTTTTTAACCAAGCTTCCCAGCTAGAATTGTGATCTATTCAAGTTTAATTTTATTTATCTTTTAAGCAATGCATTATTTTTTTAAAAAATAAGGTGAGTTAATCAATTTATAGCATATGGGCGCAGATTTATTATTGGACGACAGCACGTTTGTATTTTATAACGGCCGCCGGCGAAACAACATGCATTATAAATAATGTAAATTTTTTACTATTGCCAACAAAATTAAACTAAAAAAATTTTTGGTAAAATTTAATCAAAAAATTTGTATGAGCATTCTCAAAAACCTTCATTCAAGATAAAAATAATAGATTTATCTTATATAAAAGATTAAACACAGTAGCTGGAGCGGAGGAGGGGGGGGGTGCATATAAATTCTATTCTATATAAAAGTATATATATACTTTATTTGAATAACAAATGCATAATTAATATAAAATTAGCTTCTAGAGTTAGTTAAGGTCTAGAGCAAGTTTTCAGAAGTTAATAAAATCCCATTTGCACACTAATTTTAACGTTTATAATATATGAGCATAAATGATGAATAATATTTTTAACAAATAATAAATAAATAATTTTATTTGTAAAATAAAATATTAGGTTCTCAAAATCAAAACAGATGGACCTATAAAAGACACAATCGGTGGCATATATGGCTCATCCTTCACTGAAATTTTTTCTCGGAGTTAATATTGTGGTAAAAATATATAAATACCGCTTTATATATTATGCAAAAAGAAGGGAATCAAAATGATATAATCTTTATTTAAATTATAGGATAGCTTTGATTTTTTTTACCACTTGCTTTTTAGGGAACGCATGATCTCCAGCCTTCCCAACTATTTTATAATTTATATTTTAAAAAAATGATAACAATTTGCAAAAGAATAGTTTGATATATTCATTTATTATATATTTTCACTCTTGACAAATCATTTTATAATTTACAAATGCGCAAGATAAAGTATTAGAGTAAAAATTCACGTTTTTGGCGGATTCATAATTTTTGTAAAGGAGGGAGGGGATATATTTCACCATAAATTTTATTAGATTATCTAAGCCCCCCCCTCCCCATGAAGGCTTTTGGTCTTACATTTATTTTATAAAATTGGTGTATTTAAAAAATTAACTAGAATTTTATGTTATATTCACCAATATCTAAGCTACCGAAAATACTTGGTTCGACTTGTATAGAAGAATTATTATGGCTATTTAAGCTAACTACACCTGAGGCAATATGGCAAGGAGTAAATACCACTAAACCCTGATATTTTACCAGTTATATTTGTAATATTTTGAATGGCGTTAGTTCTAAGGATATCTAAATGAATTCTCAGAACAGCTGGTGAAACATTTAAAAATGCAGATTTGATATGGTTCACTAATTGTCTTAAGCGGGTATATTTGTTTGTAATAGGAATGATCTATTTCATTTATATGCCTTTATTGTGAAGGCTATTTTTTAAAAAAAATATTCATAAATAAAAGCACGACTATTACTTAATCTTAAATTGCGCCACAGGATATAAAGTAGTGTGCCTTTGTTACTATCTAATTATGAGACTAACCAATGATAGTTTTATTTTATAAAATTTTATCGAAAAGAGGACATCTGTCATATACCCAGGTCTCTCCTATGTTGCACACTTAGGTGAGATAGGGAGAAAGCCCTACCAATCTATTTTTTAGGGAGCCCAAAATTTTTAATTAAATAAATCAAACATTTTTTATGGTTTAATGAAGTAAAATACACTAATTGCTTGATCCTTAAAAAAACATCTTCTATAATGATTTATAGATTTTTTAAACTCGAGTCCGGCCCGATTTTAAAAACGGATCTAAATTTGATCCAACTTGTAGTACAATGGGTTTTGAACCCGCAATTTTAGACTGGGTTTGATACAAGGCAAAATAGCAAGAAGTGGGATCAATTTGAGTTATGAAACTACTGCCTTTTTATATCAGAAAAATAATTTTTATTGACATTATAATTTAATTAGCGCTGTTACAAAGAACCTAGACTTTTTGTTTTAAAGCTGTAAACACATGTCGTGGGTTGTCATCTGGTTCCACACTAGAAACCTAGCGCAACTTATATGTAGTAGCAAATCCCGGAAAAAAAACCCCTGGAAAAAAAACCCAGGAAAATAAACCACGGAAAATAAACCCCCAGGAAAAAAAACCCCCGGAAAATAAACCCCCAGGAAAAAAAACCCTCGAAAAAAAACCCCCAGGAATTTTTTATCATTTTTATAGAATTTAGTTAAGACCTAATAATAAAGGTATATTTTTATTTGGCCTACTCTCCATAAAAAAATGCTTAAATAAGAAAAACTGATGTTTAAATTGGTACTGGGAAAAAATGCCTCAGTAAAATAAAGATGTATGGTAAAAAAAATTTGCTATAGTAAAAATACAATACCATCTTTAAATATGATATTAAATAGACTAAATTTGACAAAACTTAGAAATAAGAAATGTTTATTTTATTGGTAAATCATGATTATGTATATACAAATTTTATAATTTATAATAATAATTATATTGGTTGACATCGAATATTGAAGGCAATCGCTCTTATAATCTGGAAGGCTTCGCACCCCATCACGGTATTCTTTGCAAAGTTTCTTTAGCCGAATCTGGTTGTTAGAACTCTGCCATTTTGTTTTCGATGTCCAACTACCTACGCGCCATCTTTCAAGTTTGGTTTCGTCGGCAGCCACCTCGCATTTCATTTTTTTAATGAGTACCCAGATTGATGGGTGTTTATTCCCAACCAGATTAGAAAAACTATGATTCCAACCTTCGCATTGATTATTTGTTTGTTCTTCATCTGAGAGAGTGATCTGATTCACGTTCCAGGTTTCTGGAGGAAATCGAGGCTCAATTCGACGTGTTTGGGATTGAGAATTGCTTCTCATGACCTCCCTTCCATTGACATAATTTTTATCGAAATAATCAAGAAAGTCCTTACCATTGCTCGGAGTAACTGTTCTCAGGAATGTCAGTGCATTGTCCATATCACATAACGGAACGAATCCTAAGCAGCCCATCATGCTACAAAAAAAATTTAGAGTTTCATCGGTCCTGTATTCGCTTTCCAGACCCAGCTTCTGAATTTTTCTATGTGTACTTTGACACAAATGGTAAAAACATCCTCTAATTACGATGTGATCCCCTAATTGAAAAAATAAATATAAATTATTAAACATATTAATAATCATACCAATGATACTCTTAACCGCGGTCATAGCAGACTTTTCGAAATCCATGTATATATATAATGGATCAGGAAATAAATCCCTTTCCTGACATTTAGACATTATTGTTTGAAATATTATTTCATAAGTACTTTGAGTTTTTTTTCTGGAGTACACAATAAACTGTAACGTTTTAAAAATACTCCATTTTTTTATATACTCCTTTAAGCTTATTTGTGGAGTATTTTCAGATTATATTGTTCGATTATAATGTATTTACATATCAGAGTATATTTAGATCAATGTAATTTTTATAATGATATTTTTTTGAAAAAGTGCTCATGTCAATCAAGATACATTATTCTTAAGGAGCTGATGATGACTGATATTTTATTCTAGTATCCTGAGGCGATTTTTTTGAATTTCCCGTCAAATTTTTTAGGTTAATGATGCTTGGTACCAGATGAAAAAATCGCCTGCGGGAAAATGGCTGATGTTAAATCGTTTTATATATTTTATTCAGTAGATACATTTAAAATATTTGCCTTTAAAATGCCATCTCCGAGAAATAATGGAATACCATATCTTTATTTGAATGGAAAAAACATGAATATCTCCCAGGCCAATTTTTTATTTAATCTTTTATATTTTATAGATATCTATCAATTCTACATATATTTCTACCACTCACAATCTCATCACAAAATCAATCAATACCCTACCTAATTTATTTCTTACTAAATAAATTAAAATCACTCATATATTGAAGATACTAATTACTTATAAATTTTGAATCAATCACAAAATTCTAGTTTCTCTTTCATATCTAATTTCATTTCATATATCTTTATTTAATTATCAATTTTTTTTAATTACATATACTTCTAATCTTTATTATTAATTCTCTAATTTTTTACTTTATAAGCTCCATTCCTTTTTTTACATAACAAAAACTCTTATTTTATTTAATTTCTTTAAACCTTTTAAACAATAATTGATTTTATTTAACATACCTCTACTTTATATTTCAACTTTAATCTTTTTTACCAATATCAACTTAATCAATTTTATTTATATATTTTAATATCCTAATTATCATTTAGACTGCCTCTTAATAACATTTGTAACAATTTATTAAACACTCTTAACAAAAATGACACATAATATCTTTTGCTTTTTATTCTTAATTTTATTTAATATTATCTTCTGCTTTTTCTTGCTTCCCTTAAAAAACAAAATTAATTAAAATTTAATCTCCTATTTATTATTTTTACCTTTTAATAATAAAAGATATTTTAAAATGTCATTTAAAAATAATCTTAAAATCTACTCCTTCAATATACCTGGCTTATTAAGCAAAATTACAATTTTGAGGAAAATCATGGAAGAAAATAACATTAAAATTCTTATGATCCATGAACAGGGTTGCCATGTCTCCCCCCATCAGTGGGAGTCTCCCACAATTTTTTAGTTTACCCACATACATCTCACTCCCACAATTAGAAATCTCCAACAAAAAGCTCCCACAATTTTTTTTTAGCATTTTAATGTTTTTAATATATAAATAATAATTTTGAGAGATATTTCAACAAGAATAAGGGCATTTCTATAAAACTATTGAATTTTTTTTCATTCGATAGTGAAAAATCCAACGATATAGCTAACCACCTAATGGTAAATATAGCTGATTCAGGGTTATCAATGAGTTGCATGTCAGCTTTCTGCGCTGATAATGCCTCTGTTAATTTTGGCAAAAATCAAAGTGTATATACCGAATTGAGCCAGCACAATAATGAATTAATATCAATTGGCTGTATATGCCATATACTGCATAATTCTTGCAAGAAGGCAATGAATGTACTATCTGTAGATGTCGAAGTAATTGTGATGAAATGTTTTAACGAATTTAGTTCATTAACTAAAAGAGTCACTGAATTAAAAGAATTGTTGGAGTGGTCTGATTTGGAATGGTGTAAGTTGTTGCGATATGTACCTATCAAATGGTTATCATTAATACCTGCCATCGAGAGAATTTTAAAATTTTACGAACCCTTAAAGAAATACTTCTTAAATAAAGATTTTAAAAGCTGTCCTAAAATTTTGAAAAATTTTTTCGAGGATGAAATGTCAGAAGCATATTTTAGATTAGTTTCACATGTAGGATATCTATTTCATGTAGTTAATATTCAGTTGCAATCAGAAGATTCTTTATTGATAAAGATTCACAAAATCATGCTACAGCTCTGTTCATCTCTATAGTTAAAAATAGTTAATAAATTTTATGGCGCTATTGCTAAAAATATCATATTAAAATGTTCAAATATTACTCTAATTAATACATTTTTAAATGAAGCAGATATTTTTATTAAGACAATTTTAGAATATTTACAATCAAAATTTGATTTTAATAACTCTATTTACAAATGTTTAAATATTATGACCTTGGAACAGAAACCATCATTTGATGGTTTATGTAATTTAATAAATATATTAAAATTACCGATAGACATTGAAGCCTTGTTTGAAGAGATTGTAATTTTTTCCATTTTTTATGGTTCGCCAGAATACTTAAAGTTAGATGGTCTAAAAGCAGAGGAGAAATGGGTGGAATTTTTTCGTAATAACGATAAATCCCCATGCTTGGAAAAAATTTGCGAGTGTGTTTTCTCCTTACCTCATTCTAATGCCTCATCGGAGCGCATTTTTGGCCTGATGAGGACTGCCTGGAGAAAGGAGAGAAATCGAATTGCTTTAACAACATTAGAGGCCGAGTTAATGGTTAAACAAAATTATAAAATGTCATGCTAGGAATTTTATAAATATCTTAATAACGACGATAAACGTTTAGTTCCATTATTTAAATCTCAAATAAAATATAATTAACTATAACTATTTGACTTTCTATATTTTATAAAATCCTATTTATACATTTGCATAAAATCAAATAAATTTATTTTTTACATTGTAAAATTAATATTTTGAATATTTTGGCAAATCATAAAAATAAAGAAGCATTACAATCTCTTCAAACATGACATCATATTAAATCTAATTAATAATTATCCGATAATAGTAATAATATTCTTACTTTGGTATTTCTGCAGCATAATTTAGTGAACCTTTATTAAATTATATTTTTCATTGCAACTGCATATTAACAGCATATAGTAGATTTCCTATATGTAAAATTCCTAAATATACTTCTGCCATTTATTTTTGAAAATTTTTTTCAAAATATTAGGACAGCTTTTATAATCTACTTATTTTTTAAAGGTTTGTAAAATTTTAAAATTCTACGATGGCGCGTATTAGGACGAACCTGTCAACCAACATTATGCTGACTCAATTCTGTAAATACACTCTGGTTTTTGCCAAATTCACTGAGGAATTATCAGATCAGAAAGCTGCCATGCAATTCATTGGTAATGCCAAATCTGCCATAATTTACCATTATAATGGTTAGCTATGTCTTTGGATATTTCATATCTGGAAAATTTTTTTTTAATAGTTTTATTGAAATGACATTAATTTTGTTGAAATAGGGGAGGATCAAGGGAAATGTTTTGATATCTCCTTATTAGATGCATCTGTTAGAATTGCATATGTTTGCACATCTTTTAAATCGTCAAGAATTGACCTTCTGGATTTATATCCTAAAACATTGATGATAGCCTTGCTCATTTGTGTTCTACAAAGTATACTCTTCATTTATATTAGTCATTAAATATTATGGGGAAAGATTCTACCAACATTGTGATGTTAAGTAGCTCTCTGAATGTTGTACTGCATGGTAGGTATTTACCATTTCCGCAACTGTAGTTGCATCTGTATTATTTCTTATTTTTGAAGAATATTTTTGTTTTGCAATAGATGTTGATAGACTGCTCTATACTGATTTATGCTTTGAAGATTTTCGATGCCTCAAAATATCATATTCCCCTCCCCCATTGTATTAACTAAATACTGAAGAACAACTTCCCCGCACTGATTATAATTATTTTTTACATTGTAAATTTAAAATTGTTTTTTTATAAAATCTTATTTATACATTAGCATAAAATATATTTTTTTACATTGTAAAATTACAATTTTTTTATAAAATTTTATCTTGTTTACATTCTTTTGTATTTAAAAAAGATCGTTGGTTATTATTTTTAAACAAAATTAATATATTATAATAAATCAATATGTTATTTTAATAATAAAGATAGTATTTAAGAAATTTTGTGTCGTACTCGTACTATAATTACCTATTTTGAAAAATAGTTGCGTATTTTATTTTGGAAAATAGTTACTTATTTTATTTTGAAAAAGAGTTGGATATTTTATTTTGAAAAAGAGTTGGATATTTTATTTTGAAAAATAGTTGGCTATTCAAAATTTTTTTTTTAGCAATTTTCATATTTTTCCCATAATTTTTATATTACTCCCACAAAATACAGAATTTCTCCCGCAATTTGAAAATTTTGACCTGGCAACCCTGTCCATGAAACTATGATTAACAATAATATTATCAAAAAAATTACATGGATATACCATTTCTTTACCTCGGGATCACCTACTGATAGAAATGGTGTATCATTCATCATCAGAGATGATTTTCTAAATTCTACCAAAAATTTCACTCCTTTTAACGATAGACTAGCATCTATTATTCTAAAAAGTAAAGGTAAACTAATTCACCTAATAAATGTTTATGCTCCTGCCAAACAAAATGAATACCCAAAATTTATTTCAAATCTTAAGAACTTCCTTAGCCACATCAATAAAAATCACTTTATCATCATTGGAAAAGACCTTAACATGAAATTATGTAATGAAATCACTAATTCTCTTATTGGTTTTGCTACTTTAAATCAAACAACTAACAATAATGCCTCTAAAATAATTGATATCTGTAAACTTTTTAATTTAAAAATCATCAACTCTTTTTATAAACAAAGAAACAATAAATATCACACATACTTCAAACCCAATTCTCCATATAAAAGCCAGTTAGATTATTTCATCACAAGTATAAAAATGAGCTCTTATGTTAAAAATTTTAACATTTTAAATGAAATTGATTTTTTATCAGATAATAGACCAATCTGTATCTCTTTATTCATTAAACCTTTATTTTTACATAATCTCAATAAATCAAACAAATATACTCCTATAATCCTTAAAAAATATAATATCTCTAATCTTAATTTACTAACCCCAGCAAATAATTTTCTACATAATTTGAATCAAATCAACAATAATGACTCATGGTTAAACATTTCAAACTCAATTATCAAAACAGCAAATACCTATCTTAATATTAATTATCAATATCCTGATTGGTTAGAATTAAGTTTGTGACTAGTTTTTGTCTGCATCCCTTAAACTTAAACTCTCTACTGGACCTTAAACTTTAACATATAACTCTAAAATGTATTACATATCTGTTTGTTTAATTAGTCATTTTTGGTTAGGCTTATACCATTAAGCCATGATTTATCTATTCCCTTGTTACTTTCACCCTCAATTCCCCTTTTACCAAGATGCTTATTAAGAATAATATATTATCTCCCAGATACTATTTTACTAATTTATTCCCCTTATTTTATTTTTTAGTTGTTTTTTAATAATTTAAACCAAGCTCACCATTTTTTTATTAATTTTACATTAGCTTATTTTCTTGTTACCTTTTTGACATTATTCTTTTGCTACTATTTTTGTTATTATTTTTTTGCTACCATTTATGATAATTTCTCGGTTAACATTTGTTAATTTAATCATTTTATAATAATAAACTGAAATCTCTCAGCATAGAGTAACTTACTTTAATCTATTCCTAGTTTAACCTTAATATTAAATGTATATATATTCCCCCCCCCCCCCCATCCGTTTCAGAATCTATTTTTAATTAGTGGTGCAATAATACATTGTTAATAGTATGTTTTAAATATCAAACTAAGGCATATTAGATTAGTATAAAAAATAACATTAATAAAACTTCTTCCAAATCAAAAATCCTTTTCATTTGACATTTTGTTCCTTTATAAGCTCTTAAAAAATGAATATTTTTATAATGTTATACAGGACATACGTTATAACATTATTTTTAGAATTACTGCAATTTAAAGATTTACATCCGGAAAGTAATATATTTTCATTAATCACATTTTTATTTTTAGATTCCCAACTTACAAGCAACCCATTATTTCATCATTAAAAGATACACAAGTGTTTTAAATAACTCTTAATTGCCAAACTACATTTAATTTATGTCGATGAGTATAACTACTGCAATGTAAAGATTTACATCATGAAAGTAATATATTTTCATTAATCACATTTTTATTCACTATACACAAAAATAAAATTGTAAAACCTTTCACTGCATAACCATATTTTATATCTGAAATTAAGTCATATCAAATTCGGTATCTTTATTTTAAACTGTGTTCTATGTGATAGCGAAATTCTTAGGGATAATAATTTTGTGACATGTCCTAGTTTTATTAAACATTTTTTTTATCTAAAATGTCAATCAAGAAGATTGGAATTATAGATTGAAAAAAGATTAAAAAATATTTTTTTATGATTTTGATTTTAAAAAAAATAAAAGTTTGAATTTTAAAGGCTCCAAATATTATTAAGATTTGTTCATTAAAACTTTTTATTAAAGATTTAAAATATTATTAAGATCTTTTTATCAAGTTTTTTTTATTCTATATATATTGTTTTATAATAGGTATTTTAACATTACATTATGTTATAACCATATTAACCAAATTGAAATATTCACAAGAAGTTAAATAATATATACTTAATTTCTTTTTCTCTTTTAGGTTATTTTGCAATTGATTTGAAAATATTAATCTAAATATCGATAGTAGATTTTAAGCTTAAAATCAGCCACCTCCCACCCTTAAAATAATTTAATTATCTTGTAATTCTCGGGTATAGGCTTTTGTTTTGTCCAACTTCTTTTGTTATTAGCTTATAGATGTTTAAATAACAGTTTTCGAACTGTTGTGCATGCGGCTTGCCCACAAACGTGTGAAGGGCTCCTCATTTTCTTCCCCCAAATATTTTCCAGTTTGATGGTTTTTTTTTGAGGAAAACCTAGCGTAGCTCTGTTGTATCCGCAATATCTCACGTAGAAACAAGTATTTATTTTTAATTATATTATTTATTTCTTATTTTTAAATATATTATTTATTTCTTTAAATTTATTTTTTATTTCATATTTTTAAATATAAAAGATTTTGAAGAAATAAAAAACTTCATTTTACACAAGAAGTATCCACTAGATTTAGCTGGCAACCATGGAGAAAAAAGAAATTTCCGTGTCAAAGCCGCTAGATATAAAATGCTCAATGGTAAATTATTTCACTATTCCCACAATGGTGAAGTAATTATCGACTCTATAAAACGAAAGGAGCTTATATAAACAGTCCACGGTGGTTGTGATACCAATATTGAAGCTACATCACTTGCTGCCCATTTTGGTATCACCAAGACTCACAAAAAATTGGCTGATAGGTAAAATATTTAGATTATGTTTAAAATAAAATAAAAACAAATTATATTTACACAAATACTTCCAATATTTAACAAATTCATGTTTTATTATGGACTATTAATAAAGGTATTCATAAATGCCATAATATATGAATCATAATAATATTTCTAGTTATATGATTAAAATTATTTTTTAGCTTCTGGTGGCCAAATATGAAAGATGATGTAGTCAAATTTATTAATTCTTGTGACATCAAGGTGTAATACAAGATTTGATAAAACTACCAATGAGTTACAATCAATTCCTATTAGAGCAAAGGTAGTAAAATATATAAAAATCATTGATTTGTTAAATTTTTTATAGTTTTAATCATTTTAACTGTATATAATTTTTTTTTATATATTTTATTTATAGTCCTATTAATGGTATGACACTATTATATATATATGACACTTGTTTAATATATTTGTTATTTTCGCATATTGTATCATTTAAATTTTAAGTTAGTTTATTATACCTGCCATCCTTATAGAATTTTTTTTTTCAGTATATCTACAACCATATAAAGTGGTAAGTAAATTTATTAAATTATCCTTTGAATCTTTTTACATTATAATTTATAATGACATTTTTTTAACTTATCCTATATTTTTCTCACTTAGCCTTAATCCCAATTTTTAACCATACTAAAGTTCATTAACAAGCTTAACTTCTTTCCTAGTAGAATATATATAACATTAATCTTTTATTTTATAAAAGGTATGGTCACAAATAGGAGTTGATTTGTGTACTTTGCCAGAAAGTGATGGCTATAAATATATTGCAGTAGCTGTTGATTACTTCAGTAAATATGTTGTAGCCATGCCTTTAAAGGATAAAAGAGCTAAATCAGTATCGAAATTCCTTTATTCGTTATTATGCACATATGGCAGAGCAAAAGTATGATTTATTTGATAATAAAATATTAATTTTAGTTTTAAGATTCAAATTAATGATCAAGGACGGGAGTTTGTGAATGAAGTTAGCACTAATTATCACAAACTCGTGGGGACCATGCAGAGGGTGACAAGTGCTTATCACCCTCAAGCAAATGGCATGGTTGAAAGGGTTAATAGAACAATCCAGAATGCACTTCTAAAGTGTATTGAAGATGATCAATTAGTTTGGAGAGATGCCTTGCCTGGCATATTATTTGCCTATAACATATCTTGTCATGACTCATAGAAATTTACGCCCTTTGAGCTGATGTATGGTAGAACAGCAATACAAGCTTATGGGGTATACCAATTATAAATTATATACTATATATTATATCCCTATTTAAAGAATGATGAGGAAAATGATATACTGACAATGTTGATGAGATAGATAGGGAAAACTATTTTCAAAGTATTGTTTGCAAGATGCAGGACATACATAATATTGCCATGGGCAATATTAATCTTGCCCAGCTCAAGCAGCATAGGGATTATAGAACCTGCCATACTGGGAAAAATGCTCCCTATAAAATAAATGATAAGGTGCTTATCTGGAACAGCCGTCGAGCTGATAGGAGACACGGCCTTGGCTGGGTCCTTTTACAATAGTTGGGATTGACAAAAGTATAAATTATGATTTTTAACAACAAAATATTTATAATATTTAGGCAATGTAGAGCTAATAAATGCTAGTGGGAAACAGGTAAAAACCCGACCAAATATTTGTAACATAAAACATTATGTTACAAGAAAAGTTATAGTTTTAAAAAGATTAATTTTATATTTATATATTTATCAAGATGACACAATTAAAGCAGGACAGAAAAAATGTTAATACTTTTAAAAATTTATTAAATAACTTTAAACAGTTCCTAGGTCAAGTGAAAAGTTTCATTCTATTACCATAAAAGGTATACAATGAATTTTATTATTAAATAATATTCCTTTTTTTAGATGATGATGAAAATTTTCAAGAACCAGCTATTAAAAATCTAAAGCTTAATGCGGAAGAAAATCATATGAAGGGTAATATTTTCATATATTTAATATTAAATCCTTTTTGAAAATATCTAGTTATGAATATACTAAATTCGATAGTTGGAGAGGATTATAATTGTATAAACAAAAAAGGTATAAAAAAAATATTAAATATACATATTTTTTTAGATGATGGAGTTAAGACACCAGGAAAAGCATCGAAAATGCTAGAGCCTGATGACATTCGACCTTTTAGTAACATTTATAAGAATTGATAAAATTAATTTTTTAATTTAATAGGTGCCCCGCCATCCAACTTGAAGATTGTAGATGGCGAAGTAGACAAGCTCAAAAGGAACGGTATAAATTTGCATAATTAGTAGATTTATACATATTTTTAGATGATGAAATTATATTAGAGACAGTGGTTTCTAAAAAAGATGTTAAAAATCTTTTTATTCCTACAAATAGGAATTGGAAAATATACCACTCACTTCGCTATAATTGGGATATCAAGAAAAGATATCCAAAATTTAAAAATGGCATCATAAATGAAAATTTTTCCACTGAAAGGATAATTGGCGATAGTAATTGTCTTTTCAGGTATGGATAATTAAAATAAATTAAATTGTTAATCATTATTATAGATGTATAAGCAAAGATATTTGCGAGGATAAATGCCACTATCACTTCCTAAGATCGGAATGTGTGCGCTTTATGAAAAGTAAAGACATGGCAGAGCAGATGGAGGGGTTTCTGGGAGAACCCGTTGACGCGTACCTGTAGAGGACGGGCATGGCTCAAAATGCCGTTTATGGTACAGAGGTGGAGATAGTTGCAATGGCAACTATGCTCCAGACTAATATTTTAATACATACTATTTATAAATGGGCATACTATATGCCCATTAAAAAATTAAGTAATATTAAAAAATTTAATGTAAATATTTATTTAATAAATCATAGCGAACATTTTGATCGCATAATTAATTTTAATTAATATTTATATCGCATATATTATTTATATCGCATATATTATTAATTGATTTTTTTGATCTTTATATTTATAAATTAAATAAAGGATTTTAATAAATTATTCTGAAAATTGTTTCTAACTTTGAGCAGTAACGTGATAATAGATAGTGCAAGATTTATATGTATATCTTTGATATTTTCGAATTAAACCTTAAATAAATATATAAATTTTAACACTTAATATTAAATCTAATAATTTCTAAAGAGAATAAGGCAAAATTGCCTTAAATATCATAGGATATAGAAAAAATAATATTTATTATTCATACGTCAGTTATAAATGCCAATATCACTAAATTTATTATATAAAATATTTATATGTCAGTCATAAACGTCAATATCACTAAAAATATAATATTTAATATATGCACGTCAGTCATAAACGTCAATATCACTTAATATTGGAGTATATAAAAAAATGGAGTATTTTTAAAACATTACACCGGGTCTTGATTATCGAGTGTTGAAAAAAGTATTGCTCGGCATTTAAAAGAATACTTTGAGCAACGCCATCTAATCTTGTTTGAGCATTTTTTATGTATGGTATAAGAATAACCTTCAAATATGAGCTTTCCAGGATGAATAAGATCCATTAAATTTTTTTATAAAATATATATTTTATGAATAAAATATTTTTGTAAATTTAAATTTTTTTTTGTCTTTATATACGGCATAAAGATCCAAATTATTGTTTAATTTTATAAATAAATACCAATTATAGCGTTTATGATTGATAAACAATTTTTATTCTTTTGATTAAAAATACATTTTAAAACATAATGATCATAATACATTTTAATATGTGTTCATTTAGCTAGTTGCTGAACAATAATATTTTTAACAAATTATTAACTTGCAATTTTCTAAATACCAATTATAGCGTTTTTAATTTATAAACAAATTTTATTCTTTGGATTAAAAATGCATTTTAAAACATAATACATTTTAATATCTGTTCATTTAACTAGTTGCTGAACAATAATATTTTTAACAAATTATTAACTTGCAATTGTCTAAATACCAATTATAGCGTTTTTAATTTATAAACAATTTTTATTCTTTTGATTAAAAATACATTTTAAAACTTTTAATAAGCTAAAAACTAAAGGTAGTTGCATATCAATGAGGTGAGAAATCATGAATAAATTAAAATTATCACATATATTCAAAATATCAAATGCAAAAAAATCGAGTATTTTCCATTTGCATTTTAATGGTTTCAACTGAATTAAATTGTATATTGGGTGAATGTATATTTGTTTCTATTATAATAAATCACGAATTTATTTCATATTCATCTTTTAAATATGCAATGAATTAAGCTTCTATTTCTTTATATACTGGCTGCTAACAAACAATCAAGTTATATACAGATGTATTTCTAAAAATTGATTATCTGCTTAAATAAATTTGTATTTTAAAAGAATCAGTTTGGATTGGCCTATTTATGCAAGCAGTTACTTCTAATAATTTAGAATATATACATAACGTTTTAAGTATCAATAGTAAATATAAATAACCCATCATATTGGGGGGTAAATTTGGATGGTGCATCATATTCATAGGAGGCACACCAACTCCAGCAAGGCTCGTGACAGTAGGAGGAGGTGGGGGTGGAGAAGTTGATGAGGTCATAATATTTTTAACAAATTATTAACTTGCAATTGTATAAATACCAATTCAATATAAATTATTGCTAGAATAAACTTAAATATGAGTGTATAAAAATATTCCCAAGGGGTTATTTTCCTATTACCGTAGTAGCATATTAAAATTTAACAGTGAGAAAAAGAAATTAAGAAAAGATACATTATATATAATTAATGGAAAGATCAGAACAATTAGAAAATAAAAATTGCTAAAAAAATGACTTATGATTATTGAACAAAAAAATTATTCTTTTAAATATACAAAAAATAAAATACTATTTTTGTTAAATTCTCCTTTTCTTGTGGGACTTTTCCTATTTTGATAATCTTTTTTTATGATCAGACCTTTTTTTTTATTAGACCTTTTTTCTTTTTTGAATGGAAAACCATGTAACACAATTAACATTATAAATTAGTGCTATTTATTTATTTTTTTAAATTGAATTAGAATTAAAGATATATTTTAATAAAAATATTATAAATAAATATAATTTTAAAACAGTCATGAACCTATTTAAGCAGAGTGTCAGTAGTTTTTATACACTATAATTAAGGTTTCGTGGTTCGGTTCAACACACTGCCCTTGTACCCAGCTATTTTTTTTCGTATCAGCATGTCGGAAATATTAAATTGAAATGTCAACCAATCCGTAATTCAAGACATTTTTATGATTGTATAATAGCATAATTCATTGTTCATAGGCTCAATCGGATTAACATTAAACTTAAGCTATAAATGTGAAATCTCCTGCCAAAGTATTTTTTACCCGTGATCATGGCTTACATCGAAAGTGAATAAATTATGCATGAACATAATAAACATCAGAGTCCAGTTGAAAGAAAATAAGTCTTTCCTTATAACTAATTGTTAAAACATAAGCCATATATTTAATTTAAGTTTATATAATACATTTAAAATTAAATTAGGGTCGTTAGTAAATTCTAGTGTCTTACTAATAATAATAAATATACAAAATTATGTCAAACTTTTTTTCCCTTATAATATGGAAAAACAACAAAACTAAAGCCATTTTAGCGTTCAATTAATACAAATATGATCATCTTGCAGAATTATAAATTTATATATAATTATTTTAAAACTATGAATGAAATTGAATTCATTTAATTTAATATTATTATTCGTAAACATCTTCTTTGTCGGCAACATATCTTATAATATCACGAGGCGTCTGGAACCTTTCTGCATCAAGGTCCGGTATTTCAAAATCTGTTATTTAAAAATGCATATAATCTAAATAAAAAATAATGATGATAAAAAATGAGTCTTAATCATTTTATAATGGATTGACCTATATTTACAATGAATTAAAAAATCAATCTTGGTAAGATAATGGCCCTATACATCGAGGGCTTTGATTAGGTTTTAACAAAATATAAATATGAATTCCAATATAATTTAGTAAAAGATCATGTTGCGTAATAAAAATTTAAAAGAAATTTTTATTTCTTTTCATAGTATACCAATGTTGATTATTTGAAAGATTCAAAAAAGTGCTTTTAATTCAAAATCTATATTTTATTAGGTAGGTGCCGATATTAAATATTGGATGGACCGATATTTAATGTTTTTAAAAATATCAGATCGGGCTAATATCTTCTAAAACAGATATGATATTTTCATTGTTATTGGTTATATTATGGTTTAATATATAATTAAATCTTCTAATTTTAATACATAAAACCAGAGTTGTTAAAGTAACGCGCTACTGTAGCATGCTATCTTTTTTGGTAGCGATAGCTAAAAGCGCGCTGCTTTTTTCCAAATATAAATTTTTTTAGAGGCGCTACTTTGCTACTTTTTAAAAATATTATGAATGCAACTATAAACATGAAAATTTAAATATAATATCATAATTTTTATGATTTATTATTTAATTTTAAAATTTATATTTTCAATTTGTATTTTAAACCTATATCATCTGGGGTAAATTATTTAAAATATCATCGCAAATGGATATCCAAATCGATGTAAGTGAATCAGACGATGATGTTAATGAAATGGAAGATATCCTGGAAAAAAATGTTCATGATAACAATAATACACATTTTCCATTTCCAAAATTTGAAAAACAAAAGGTGGCTACAAATATATTTGATTAAAAATGTAAAAAAAATATATCCTCAAGTAGCAATAAATTCAAAAAACATTTAAAGGTAATTGTCATTTTTAAATTCTAATAATATTTATTTTATAAGAATATTCATGCCAACAGTTTTAATGAGATAAAAAACATCGTAATAATTTTAGTATAGGGGAGACTACATCCAAAAAGACGAATTCAATTCAAGCTAAATTGATTAATAATATTGCAATAGCAAGTTGTCAGAGATATCCTATATATGCACCATGGCAGATATTTGGACATATAACAGAAGGTAAAAACTATTTATGAATTTATCTGATATTAATATTTTTAGAGCTTGTTTGGGATCACAGGCCATTGGTTAGACCCTAAGACTTAAAGAAGATCTGTAGCATTAGCCCTCAAAAGGATAATAGGATGCCAGGATATAAAATGTATTTGCAAATAAAATTTATGATCCAATAGTCTCAAACAAAACAAAGATGCCCTATAGTTACAACCACAAAAATGACTTTCATTGATAATTATTTTGAAATAAATTATACTAATATAATAAAAAATCTTCTAGAAGCGTTTTTTAAATCTATAAATACTCGTATTCTTGTTAAATTTTGTTATAATAAAAATAAGTATATAAAATTAAATGCAGCCTTGCCCTCAAGTGATAGTGTTGAGAGATTATTTAGTTAGGCGAAACTTATACTTTCTGATCGTCGCTCTAAACTTGGTAATGATAGTATAGAAATAATTTTATTATTAAAATGCAACAAAATGAATATTACCATAAATAGTTATTTTTATTACATAAATTATAGTCTTTTTACATAAATTTTTTATAATAAAAATTAATTATATTTAAATATTTATAAATGTTGATTTTTATCTATTATCTATTATACAATTACATTAATTTTCTAAATTTTTTTTACAAAAAGTAACGCTAAAGTTACTTTTAAAAGAGTATCTAATATGGGGCTACTTTTTTTGATGGGTAGTGATAGTAGTAGCGCGCTATTTTTAAACGTAGTGTTTAACAACTTTGCATAAAACATAATAGTAAATTCATGGATAGTATCAAAATTCAATTTATTTATAATATTTAAAAAAATCGAATTATTTTAAAAGATAGAGTAGCTATAAATTTGATATTATACTTTGTTACAAAAAGATTTTAAAATATATAGCGAATCACGTGATCAACTTCTTGTGATTTAAAACCAAATACACTTAATAATTAGTGATAGCTAGTTGGCTTTTTTTGAATAGAAAATATTCTTTTTTATGACATTGATTTAAAAATAGGTAGCAAATGTCGTAATTGTCTAAACTTTTAAAATGTATTGAATTGATTATTGTAATTTTTTTTTTATTAAAATTTTTTTTATTAAAATGTTTCAAATATATATATTTATAATTTGAATAAAATTTCGATTTAAAAACGTATACAATTTACAATAAAAAGTATAAGCTATATAAAAATATTTAAAAAAAGGTAATAAAATACTGTAATGTATTTTTTTTTAAAAGGAACATGAGGAGGTGCAACTAGGATATGGCACCATGGATTGATATACTATGAGACCCACAAATTTCCATTGAGATTCGTTGGCGTAAGTAAAAACCTTCCTGAGGGTCACCCGAAATTAAGCGCATCTTTTGGCCGAGTGTCTTGAAAAAATCCAATGCTCTAGGTCTAAATCACCGATTGTGTAAGAAACAATCGGGGTTAGAGTAAATTGGGCATGGTAATGTATTTATTGATCTTTCTAATTTGCGCTCTAACTAAGGAATTAGAGCAAAAGGATGGTACAAAGCGATCAACGCATGTATAATCCCTGGCTATCGGGATTCCTCTGCTCCATGGGATAAGTCATTCTGTCAGGCCTAATATTGTCCCTGAGATTAAGACCTACAGGTTCCAAAGTTGACGGAATATTAGCTGAACGGAGATTTTGAGCAATAATTAAATTTATTGCTTGGTGGCGTGGATGACGGCCTTTAGAGAAACGGCAGTGAAGAGGGTGATGACCTAGACTGTCGATAGGGAGCTGACACTTTTTGCAAGATGAGGGTGTGACGATATCGCAGCCTAAACGAAAACCTATTCCTATCAGAAGTTCTTCGTTGGAAAGAGGCAAACCAAGGTTGGAGCTAGGATAGCCTCAAGCCATTCATATCCTGTGTTGAATTGATGATGGAGAATTACTACTTTGATTTATTGGATTGGGGGATGTCGTTATTTGTAATTGAAAGAGTATGCAAATTTTATTTGTTAAAATTATTATAAATAGTGATATTGTAAATGTTTAAAAAGAAAGATCAATGATATAATCTTTAAATTATTAGCTTTCACATTTTAAAATAAAATTAAGTAATTTTGTTTTGTTGTTATATATTAATTCTATAGTTTCTTAATTGACAACCTGTGTTATAATATTATAGCAAATATTATCAATTTGAATACCGGGTCGGTATCGGTTGTAGGATCGGTTTTGTAGTAATATCGAAAAATTTGTGGATCGCACAGCTCTAAATTTTATATAATTTAATATATAATATAATAAACGAAATTATATTTAAGCAAAGCGAATATATATGTCATATTCGGATATGGAATCCATGGTAAATTCGGAATCTATAAATTTTAAATCATTTACTGAGGGCGACTTTGAAATACTAAAAATCTAATTTGACCAAAAAAATATTCCAGCAAATATAGAGTACCACACTATTGATTTAAGGCATGTTCAGGGAACTTTTGAATTACTCTTAACTTATATTAATTTTTATATGGATTATTCATATGAATTTGAAGTAACATAAAAGCTAGTGGCCAAGATCGTCTGAAATTCACGGAAAACTGGTCCTTTTTAACATTTGTATTAGGAAGGATAGACCTGACCTCAATTTATATATATTTTTTTCGAAAGTAAACAGCTAAAAAAATATAGTATGATAATAGCTGGAGAAAGCAATATAATATTGCTATCTGTATAAAAGGGCAGCTAGATAAGTATGAAATTTTTTATATTTGATTCTTTTTTTCAGTATCAGGTGACTGACTCTTAAGATAGTGCTTTAAAATATTATATGATAGTTTTTTTTTAATCTATAGTTTTTGAGGTATGGATTGATAGTTGAGATTAAATGTTGGTAAGCAATTTGCTGATATTGTATAAAATAAAAAATATTTTACAATTATATATTTAATTATAATATAACCAAAAACAATTATAATAGTGGATCAGTTTTTTAAATATCAGCCTGATCCAGTTTTTTAAAACAGTCAATATTGGTCTGAGCTGATCTGATATTTAATATTGGCATAGCCCCATTATAAATTTCATTTTATATTTCTTTAATATTTTCCTTCACTCCAAAACTTTCCATAATGTATCATTTAAATTAATGAAATAAAAACTATACAAAATTCATCTTCCATTGCCATAACAACTTCAACCAAGTCAAGGCTATCCAATCCCAAATCAGTTATAAAATTTGATTCCAATGTGATCTTATTTAATAAAATATAAAAAATTTATATATAAATATTAAAATATAAAAGTTAAATTAATTTGTAGTAACCCTAAAAACTCCCATCATAATCATATATTTTAAATTATTTTTATGACAATTATTAGAGAATAAAATTATTTATAAAGGTAGGTACAAGATAATATTATTTATAAATTTAATTTATAACTAATAATTTATATAAAACTAAAAAAACACATTTTTATTTCTAAAAAAATTATCATTGTTAATAAAAAATCAGTTTGTATAAAAATAAATATCTATAAGTATTAATTGTATATACAAGCAGTAATAATTTTAAATATAACCAAGCCGGGCTTAAAAAAAGTTTTTTTAAATACCTGGCCAGGCATAAAAATTTTTTAAAGGTCAGGCCATATATTTTGTAAATCTATTAGCTATAAAAATTAAGGCTAGGCCAATAATAATTTTTTTATAAAAATCTGGATCGGCCATACAAATAGTATCTCTGCAGGTCTCTGATATAAAGGTTAATTATATCAAACAGAAGGGAATAGGAAAAAAACCTTAAAAGAACCCCTTGGATAAAAACCACCAAAAAAACCCCATGGAAAAAAAATTATGAGGATGCTTTTACCATTTGTGTCAAAGTACCCATAGAAAAATTCAGAAGCTAGGTAAGGAAAGCCAATTAAGCTTCTTTTGTGGCATGATAAAAGGTTTAGCATTTCCTTTATGTAATATGATGACCAATGCAATGACATTCCTGAGATTAGTTAATCCGATGGTAAGGTTATTCTTGATTATTTTGATAAAGATTATATCAATGGAGGGCACAAGAAACAATTCTCAATCCCAGACACGTCAAATTGAACTTCGATTTTCTATAGAAACTTGAAACGTGAATCAGAGCACTCTATCCAACGAAGAACGATGAGAAGATCGAAATCATCGTTTTTCTAATTTGGTAAGGAATAAACACCCATCAATCTTGGAATTGATTATAAAAATAAAATGTGAGGTGGCTAACGATGAAACCAAACTTGAAAGATGGAGTGTAGTTAGTTGGACACCGAAAACGAAATCGCAGAGTAATAATACCCAGATTTGGTTAAAGAAACTTTGCAAGGAATACTGTGATGGGGTGTGAAGCCTTTCAGATTTTATAATAGCGATTTTCTTCAATATTCGATGTCAACCCATATAATTATTATTCTAAATTATTAAATTTGTATATACATAATCATGATTTACCAATAAAATAAATTTTGTCAAATTAAGTCTACTTAATATCATAATTAAGGATGGATATTTTACTATAGCAAATAATTTTTATGAAAATAAAAAATACATGGGTTATTTTACTGGGGTATTTATCCCCAGTACCAATTTGAATATATTTTATCTTGTTTATGCATTTTTTATGGAAGGTATATGAGTAATCTTTAAATAATGAATTAGGGCCTAAAAAAATTAGCATATTAATAAATTATATTTTTATAATATTTTTTTTATAAAATACTAATTTGTCTATACCTTATAAATATGAGTATATCTATTATAATCCAAATAAAAATATACCTATATTATTAGGTCTTAAGTAAATTCTATAAATATGAATTTTAAAAAATCTGGGGTTTTTTTTCCTGGATTCCAATCAGAGAGGCACCAATATAACCTTTTATGCTATATCAGTGGATAAAAAAATTATATTTATATTATAAGATATACTTATTCTTCTTTTTAAAAAAAATATTTGTTGATTATTAATTTAAGTCATAAAAATGCCTCACAATATTAATAAAAATTATAGTCATCTATAGTGTTGTGCAGATTTAATTCAAAATATTTCCATATTTTTTAATTTATATATAAATAAAATTAATTTAAAAAAATATGAAAATGTTTTCCATCAAATCTGGTCAACACTGTATTAGGGCTGTGCCAATATCAAATATAGAATTGGAACCAATATTTCACATTTATTGGATCAAGTCAATATTTTCAAAACTGATATTATTATGGTGTCAGGTTATTTTATGATTGTTTTATATAATGTTATATATAATTTCATAAAAATAATCAATTAGTAAAATGAACCAAAATTAATTGTTTTAAAAGTTAAAGTAGCTAGAAATTTTCTATTACGTTTTCTTATATTGTCTGTATCAAGAGAAGTATTTTGAAATATCTGATTAATCATATTCAGCTATTGTTGTAAAATGGTGTTAGCCAATTTTTAAAATGGCTAAATCAAGATTTTAGCAAAAGTAAATTACCAATGGAAGAATGATTTAGACATCCATTGGCAAAATTTTGAAGATTGGATAATATTTTGGCTAAAATCTTGATTTCACCATTTTAAAAATTTGGCTAAATTAAGTCTTTTTAAAAAAATCAGTTAAATTGAGCCACTTTTTTTAAATCACATAAATAGGTAGTTTAACAGTACTACATTTAGCCATAAACATTGCCCATATTTTAAATGGGATAAATAACTTTTGGAGAATAAAAAAAATATAATATGACTAATCATTCATGAAAGTTAGTTTATCTTTTTGAATATTAAATATTGAATTTTTTATGACATTGGTTAAAAGATATATCAATCTAATATTTGATCAGCTTTATAATAATATCAGATCAGATGTAAGAAAAATTTGTGGATCAGCAAAGCCCTGATGATTATTATTCATAATAAAGTTAATTCTCCAATAAATTTTTAAAAGTAAAAGGAAATAGGAAGGATATATATAAGCCAGTTGTATTGGTTATTAAAGTATTTACATATACGAAATATATATAGAGTAGAGATTAATTATATATAAAAAGTTTTAGAATATAATTAAAGCACCCCAAAATTTTGATATAAAACTTAGTTTAACCTTATCAGGATTAATTTTATCAAATAGTTTTAAAACTAACAACACTCTTTTCTCAATTAGAGCTAAGGACATTGGTGGCTTACTGGAATATTTTCTTTTAAAAATGTGAAAGTTAAATTGACTGATCTATTTAAAATGACAATATAATATCTAATTATATCTTCAAACTTTAGGTGAATCTTTCCCGAGATAAAGTTGTAAAACTTTCATAACTCTCTCTTCTGTATTTTTTATTTTATTAATATTTTGAGTACATAATTTTTTTGAACTATAAAATCCATATAATGGTGAAGATTGAGTCTGTAAAATCTTTATATAAACAATAATTCAATTTAAAATATATTTTAACCTTTGTTATAAATAATGTATTTAAGCTCTTATAGATAATAGGTTTATTTAGTATTGGTTTAAATATTATTGCATAAAAAGAATTATAATTTTTAAATAATGATAATCGCATGGTTTTTATGTTTATATATGAAATGGATGTTTCTAAAAAGGATCGAATGACAGTCATCAATCAGATAGCTATACTGGAATAACATATCTATAAAAGAAAAAAAATCTGTTTTTTCAATTTATAAATAAAATTTTATTTTTTTTAATTCTTTATAAATAAAATTTTGTTTTTTAAAAAATGTTTATTTAAAAATATTTTTTATTTTTTTATTTGGTTATTTATTTTATAATTTACAATTCAGAAATCTGAAATAGTAAAACAATAAATTATTCTGATTTTTTTATTAGCTAATTAATTTACTAACTCTGCCAATTTAAGAATAGGAGGGTGGGTGATCGGGTTAACAAATTAAAAGTAGGAGCAGGTGAAAAGGTTTAAATAAAAATTTATAGGTGGGTTTAGTGTTGTTAATCGACTAAGTCTAGTCGTTAGCCGAAAACTGGACCAAAACTAACTCGAGTTGTGAACTCAAGTCTATCAACTTGAGTCGACTAGAGGACGAATAGTTTTAGAGGACGAATAGTTTTATCAACTTAGTCGACTAGAGGACGAATAGTTTTATAAACTTGTCTACTAGAGGACGAATAGTTCTATAAACTGGAGTCTAGAGGACGAATAGTTCTATGAACTTGAGTCAACGACTAGAAGACGAATAGTTTTATGAACTTGAGGCGTCGACTAGAGGACGATAAGTTCTATGAACTTGAGTCATCGACTAGAGGACGAATAGTTTTATGAACTTGAGGCTTCGACTAGTGTACGAATAGTTCTAGGAACTTGAGTATACTAAAGGATGAAGATTTTAAATTAGTTATTATTTATAAAACATTTTTTTATTTTTAACTTTAGATTTCCAACTTGAGTCGTTATACGAAATATAATATACTTGATAGTGATCTGCATCGGGCCTAATTCAAGCCCGGCCCGGCCTGGAATTTTTTTTAAAAAGTTTTGCCGGCTCGGCCCGAACCCGAAATGTTTTTGAAAAAGTTTTGCCGACCCGGCCCGGCCCGAATTATTTAAATATACAAAGTCATTGACATCCTGTTTCGCTTCTTGGTCAAAAAATCAACGGCCTTGCTGAATGCTCTTTCGCTTGGAACGCCTGACGTTTGTTAAGCAAGGTAATCCTTAGCTATCAGCGATAAGGTTGGGTAAAAATCGCTGTTTTTCGCCCACTAATCAATATTAGTTGACGCTGGTGCAACCGGTTCTTTGACATATTCATTAATTTCATCTCTAATGAGATCTGGAAATTCACAAGCTTCTCTAAAATTATAAATTAATATAAACAAATATTTATAATTACTTTCTCAATTCGTGATGCATACACACCGAATAAGGCTGTTTCCAAACATCTAGAGAGAAGTCACACAATTTTTATTTTTGTGGCCACCCGTAGGTTTTATATAATAAATTGAATTTTTAATTATAATCCTGCTTTGCTACAAAATGAGGCATATATTTCATCTTAGTTTTCGGATCTAACATGGTAGATACATAATTGCTGAATGTGCTCTGATAGTTTTTATACGTTTCACATTTTATTTGCATTTTACTTGCCGCATTTTTAATATCATCATCTGGATGATTTTTGGAAGCTTCCCATAAAATTTTGTCCATCTTTGCTATAAATAAAACAGCGGTTCCAATTGTAGTGGTATCTGACGATATTTCGAGTGTTATTTTATAAAAAGGCTTTAAAAAATTTTCAACTTCCTTTAAAGATTTTGCCTCCCTAACGCTTATGTCGAAAGGCTCTGTCATACATTTTTTTCCTAGCTCTTTAATTGCATCTAAATTCTATATAAATTAAATATATTATTAGACAATGCAATGTTATATCTCAAAAAGGTTGAACATAATAGACATTATGAAAAAATATGTTTAACTTACTTTGTTTACTGTTGATATCATAAATATTTAGAGTTCCATCTAGTTACTACATCTAAAGGAATCCTCGTCCCTCCTGAGAGCTCCAAGTACTTTTGTAAAAGTTTTGGTGAAGAATGTAACTTCTTTACAAGATTAGTTCTTTTATTTAGTTTTTTATCTAAGGCTGAAATCCCCTCTTTAACTATCAAATTTATAATATGGGCTAAACATCGGTGGCTGTATAAGCTTGTTTTATATTTTTCATGATAAAGTGCAATCATTTTTTCAGCAGCGTTATCTTGTCCCGAATCTCAAATTCATCGAGAGATTCTAACAAATATTGTGATATCTCCTCACTATGAAGGTATGGTAGCTGAATTAAATCTAAAAGACAACTTTCCTATTTCCACTTTTTATCGATATAGTGGCATGTAATTACACAAAAAGACGATGAGTTAATGGAGGTCCACATATCAGTCGTGATAGCCAATTTACTTTTAATATTCTTTAAATTTTTTATGAGTTGTAATTTTGAAATTTTATACATTTTTTCAATGTACTTCCAAGCTGTCTGTCTTGTCCAGATTTTTTCATTCTTGAATATGAAGGAAAATATATTTCGGAACTCCTTACTATCCATAGCTTTGAAAGGAATGTTGTTTTTTATAATAAATTTCAAAATTAATTTGTTAAGGCATTCGTTTTCCTTAGGTAATAATCTACGAATGCCAACTAGGTTTTTGGGTATATCTTCGCTCTCTCCATTTCCAATTAAATCTGGTTGATCTGTTCTAACGTGATTTTTTAAATTAGCTATAAAAATTAATATAGCTCATACTTTTATTTGTTATAATACTTGTTGAAGTGTGAACGCTAAAATATCTATTACACATTTTACACATTCGGCGATTTTTGTTGGGGCTTAATTCAAACATGCTCTTTGTATCAAAAGAAGTACTATCTATCGATGTATTAACTGATGAATCAGATATTACTGATATCTGACTCATATTGATGTCTTGATCTTGATCATCCAGAAGATCTTGGTTTTGTATGCAAGGTCATTCTAATCACATTTATAATTACAAAAAATTATTACATAATTCTACTTCCGAGTCAAAGTCCATGTTATTTAGCAGAGGGTTTCTGTTATCTTCATCACTATCTAGGTACGACATTTTAGTATGAAAAGATGTGAAATAAAAAAAAAATAGGTTTTCAAATATGTTTTCATTTAAAATAATTTTAAATATGATTGTGCAATAAAAAAAATTATTAATAAAATATAAGAATAAATAATTAAAAATTATTACCCCCCACACTTCAATAATAACCAATCCCTCCCCTTGTTTCTTTCTCCCAAAATAAATCTATCTATTTATAAATAAATTTTTGATATGTTCAAACGATTTATATTTTTTAATAAAAAAAGAATAGTAAATAAATCATATATTAAAATTGCACATATTCAGTAATAATATGATTTGTTATTGTACAAATATAACACTATTTATTATAAATCATTTTAAGAATTTGAAAACAAAAATATTGACAAAGAAGCTTCTAAATATAAGATATTATTCCTCATTCCTACCCTATGCCCCCCCCCCCCCCGATAATGAATTTTATGTGATATATCAAATTTTATCACCGATTTTTGAATTAAAAAAAATTGATAATAAATTTAAATAAAAGTCAATTAATTTCATTTCAAGCTTCTTTTTTTGATTTATAAATTAAACCCCTTTTTTAATAATAAATTTATATGTTTTATCACATATTCAATCAATAAGAATAATTTTTTAATATAAACGCCCCTTTTTAAGAAAATGTCTTTCGATGTTTTGATTTCTTGTCCCTCGAGGAAACGCATAATAAGAATCAATACATTATTTATCAGAAACCTGCAGAGGTATCATATGTAGGGCTTAAAAAAATGTCGGCCTGGTCCGGGTTTTATATTTTCAAGCTCGGCCCGGATTTTTCTGATAAAATATTTTTCGGTCCGGATTTCTATAAAATAAGATTTTCGGCCTGGTGTATAAATTTTTTTTGTTTTGGGTTTTAAAAAAATATTATAATATATCAATTCGGCATTTTACGGATCTTTGTGATATATTATTCTATGATATCCAATTTTTAAATATATCTATTTATCTTTTATATATAATAATGGCGATTTACAATATTCGTCCAGGCCTGGAACTTTTTTTAAAAAAAAGTTTCTGTTATTTATAAATAGAATCTAATTTTACTTGTGACTAAATTTATGGTAAATGTATAGCATTTATTTGTATATTCATAAGAATAATTTAACATACTTTTGGTGGGTCTTAACATTCAAAATATTCATATTTATCATGCCATTTTTGATCATATTAGTAGACATCAGGAGCTTAGCCAGGAATTTGCTTGGGAGTATTGTGGGGGGTGGGGGGGGGGCTCCTTAAATAAATATTGAGCATCTAAAATTTTGTAAATTTATTTATTAGGATTAATGACTAGAAAAATAACAATTACTAATATATTAATAATCTGTAAATAAATATCAAATATACTTTCTAAATAAAATAAATATAATTTTATCCACCGAAATTCTTTTATAATGACTAGATATATATAAATAGCATATAATCACGAGGCTTGGATATTCGGCTAAAAATTTGGTTTCGCCGTTTTTGAAATCGGTTGAAACAGCCACTATAATATAAATACGTCCTGAAAAAAATTTATACAAAATAATAAATTTTTGAACCTTTAACATGTATATAAATCCATTTCATTTAATTCTGCTATTAAATCTTTGAATATACTGGTAAATGAACACAATTCGTTATGTAATTTAGCGCTCAATTTATTTGCGAATTGTGCCAGTTTTTCCAAGGCATTTTCAGAAACCTTTACTATTTATTTCATCAAAATGCCTCATTTAAATTTTTTAACAGGTCCACTCGCACTTTTTAAAATCAATTGTCATCTTTCTACGGTACATATTTACTGAAATTTTAATTTAACATGTTTACAATATCTATTTTTACCCATTTGCTTTAAAAAAATTCAAAAATAATTTTGACAATTGTCATTTTTTATGATACACCTTCACTGAAATTTTAATTTAACATATTTTTACCCATTTGCCAAAA